TGTACTGTTTATTTCCACTTATACACCATTCTGGAAAAGGCAAAACTATGGAGACAGTAAAAAGATCAGTAGTTGCTTGTAGTGGAAGCATAATTTTTTTAGATAGTACATGATTTTTTTAGTATAGTACCCCAAATGGTACTATAATGGTAAACACATGTTATTATAAGTTTTTAATGGCATATGCAATTTTTTTTTGCAGTATTGGGGATCAAATCCAGCATCTTTTGCATGTTAGATAGGTGTTCTACCCCCAAGCTATGCTCACAATCCTTATCACTATAAGTTTATCCAAATTCTTAGAATGTACAATGTCAAAAGTAAACTGTCAGATAAACTATGGTGTTTGGATAATAATGATTAGTCAATGTAGGTTCATCAGTGTAACAGATGTATCATTTGTTGGGGGATGTGGATGATGGAGGAAGCTGTACATGTGATCCAAGTTATATGGGAAATCTCTATAACTTCTGCTCAATTTTACTATGAACCTAAAATTACTTCTTTAAAAAATTGAGTCTATTTTTAAAAATTGTACTTATAAAGATAAAATTACCATGTGAGATAAAAAATAATATACTGCTGGGATTAATAAAATATTAGACATTATGGAAGATAAGATCAGGGACTGAGGAGATATAGCAATAGAAACTACACAGAATGAAATGAATTGTGCTATGGAACAAACTCCAGCAGCCTAATCCTCATATAAATGGAGCCCTTGAGGAAGAAGAGAAAAAGGAGGAGATGAAATGTTTGAAAAAAATAATAGCTGAAAAATTTCCAAATTTGACCAAAAAAAACCCCAAAGATAATATTCAAGAATCCTGTGAAATTTAGGCACACCAAAACAAAATTGTTTTAAAACATATGGTAATCAAGTAGGTCTGTTTATACCAGCATCATCAAAAAGAGGTGGGGAGTATGTTATACCACAATATTATGAGATCACCATGTGATAGAACATTTTTAGCTTCCTTATAACATTATGGGACCACCATGGTATATGTGGTCTGTCCTTAAACATCATTAAGTGGCACATGACTGTACATTCTGAATGAAGTAGTAGGTTCAAGAGTATACACATTTGTCAAAACTTGTTGAATTATATACTTTTTGTTGTTGGAGACAAGGTCTCACTATATTTCCCAGGCTAGTCTCAAACTCCTCTTCTCAGGTGATCCTCCTGCCTTAGCTCCAGTGTGAGGACTATAGGTGTTGCCACTAGACAAGACTGGGTTATGTCCTTGAATGGGAACAAGTCTACCCCAATAAAGTTGCTTTCAAAATAATAAATGAAAACAGCATATCTGGCAGATGCTGTGATTTGGCTCACTCAATAATCAATCCAATTTTGTTCCAGAAGTTCTTATTGTACTTCAGAGGCTAGAAAACCAAAAAGCACATTTTCCAGATTCCCTCATGTTAAGAATGGAGCTTATTTAGTAAACACAGATCAAATAAACTTACTGAAAACTATATTTAGGAATAGAGTTGAGTATTGGGAAGGGCAGAGAACAAATAGCCCTTTCTGCTGGTGTGAATCACAGCCAAGGCAGTGAGTCTCTGGAGCTGGTCTATGCTTCTTGATGGAGGCAGGAGCTGCCTTGGGGACCCATCTCAGCTGAAAAGTTTTGTGAGTAGTCCTTAGAAATGGGCCCAGACTCTATTTCTAATCCATAAATTAGTTATGCTCAATAATAATTACCTTCTTTCTTCAATGGAACAATACAGTTAAATAGATGGGGAAATATCACAGTCACAATATCAGCTACTATAAGACACTTATCAATGGTCCTTCTATGACTCACTGATACCAGACACTCCACTTAAGTACTTTCTGTTTATAGCTCCATCCAATGAAGTTTTCGTGGATTTCCATTGTAGACTTCTGTGGTTGGTCCAGACACATCATCATTTCTGACCTATTTCCTAATACAATTTCTAAGAACTTTTGTCTAAACTATTGGATCTTTTTGTGGAAATATTTTCCGATGCCAAAACTACAGAACAGTGGCTCCAAGCCCATTCCAACCTGAATTCCTCTCTCCCCACATTGCAGCATTCCAAGGCAGTGTTGATTTGTCTTCTAAAGCAAATCCTTTCCTTTGACTGTTCCCATCTTTAGTTTTAAGTTTGGTGGAGGATGGGAGTCAGGAAAAAGAGCTTCCTTCCTTGTCAGTTCTTCTGTTCTTTCTCATTGAACTCCTTGTCTTCACTTGGAGGAAGATAACTGGCTTCCTCCGGCACCAGACTCCTGGGGTGGGTAGCAAGAACAGTAGGACAGTGAAGGAGGTGCAAAATGTTCTCCTGCTGTCCCAATCCCCTCCAGGTGTCCCTTGCCTCTGCTTCCAGGTGCCGCTCATTCTGTCTCTATATATTCACTTCATTTTCTAAAGAAAACTCTTGTCTAGATGATTCACACATCTTGAGTTTTCTCACCCACCTAAATGTAAACTCAATTGAATAGCTTCACGTGACTGTTGAAAGCATCACAAATGTTAGGGAAATTACCAACATCACTTTAGTTTCCTGAAAGCCATGTTTCACCACATGCCAAAACCCAGCAGAGGGCATCCTTCCATTTCAGATGCATGAGCAGCAGGAAAAAGGCTCCACAATGCCAGCACTGGATTCCTTGACAACTGAACACTGGGATTTCAATAATGGGGCTGTTGTAGTTGAAGGGGAGGTATGTTTTATAAGTCATTTTCTATTATGTAAGTTATCATTTGCCATTTTGAATTGTAGGTTTAGCAGTAACACAAAACTAAAAGGAGAAAAAAAAAAACCCAAACATCTGTTTCTGGACTCTTTCCAGGCTTGGAGCATTGGATTCAAATTGCATTATCAGGGAGTTTGCACCTGCATGACACTTTCACCCTAAGTTTACTAAGTGTGCAAATAAGGTGATCACAGAGAAAAGGCAATTGAGAGGGGAACATGTGCCCGACCTCATTGGTCCACTGCACTTTTCCATCCCCCCAGCTGAAAGAGCAGGACAGGCATTACAGCCTGTTACAGTGCCTCAGAAGAAGGAAGGAAGAAAGTCTGAGGTTTCTGGATGGGAACAGGCATGGTCAAGAGCAGTCTATAGGGTGGGGTCAACCTGTGTGTGAGGTTTCGTACAAATCCAATGAGAAACATCTTTTCTTGTCAGAATTTTTCCTGAGTTGAAAGATGAATGCCTACAGCCCTGGTAAGTTATATTCTCCCTGATGTGATTGAGTTTATCAGATCCTTTCTTTATGGATGAAAGTCAGGAGGGGGAGGAAAGAACATGAGAAAGCAATGCAGCATAACTCACTCATCCTGTAAACCCAGCCTTATTTGGGCACCCAATTAGTGCCTAGCCTGCTGGAAGCATTAAGACAGAATCATCAAAGAGTCAAAAACCCTTTTCCTCCAGATGATGTTCCAGAAAGCAGGGGTTTGGAATGTCAAATCTAACATTGTGTCATGGCCCTGCCTCTTGGCCAGCTTTGTCACTTGAAGCAGAGAAATTAATCTTTTCTTTTGCAAAACAAGGATAATCATTAGTGTTTCTTGAAAACCCAATTACTTAGACATAGAAACTAGGTACATATATGTATTATTTCATAAAATCCTTACCATCAGCCTGTGAGATAAGCTCTATTATTATTCTCATTTTGTAAATGAGGAAACCAACAAGCAGTCACAAGTTAAATATCAGAACAGGAATTTTAATAAGGCTGCCTACCCAATACCAGTGTTCCCCTCTTAACCAGTGTGCTGTCCAAGTTATCATGAGGATTAGATAAGATGACTGGTGGAAACATGAGGGCACAGTATAGTGTTATTATTATTACTATCATTAGTTTTTATCACTATTATTATGGTTTTCTGGAGCCTAAGGGTATATATTGAAATACACTAAAAACAGGATCAATGCTTCAAATCAAAATTCCTCTACTCCAAAATGTAGCTGATGCCCTTTGGTTAAAATAAGAGTACATAATGTCTTCACTATGGAATTACAACTGCTTGGCATTTATCTTTCCATTAGATGATAGGCTGCCTCTAACAGGTATGGCTGTAGATGCGATATAAGAATACACATTCCCTGAAACAGAACACAATCCTCTCCTGCTCTGGATTTCTCCATCTCCTCTGGAAAGCTAAAGGTTAAAGTCAGAAGCTAGACAAAACCAAGGTGCAAGTACCCTTCACAGTCTCCGTTCTATGATAAAGGATCATGTCCTCTGCTGCTGCTCTCAATGGGTGCTGGTGTCCCTTGGTGCTGTCTCCTTTTCCAGACTGCACTTCCCCAAGCCCTTGCCTTGGGCTTCTTACCCAAGCATGCTCACAGACCAATGGGGGTCAATTACACTTAACAATATTATTCAAAGAGAAATAAATTGGATATATTTTGTTGCCTGCTCTGAGAGTTCTCTCTGCTTACTTCAAGCCTGAATTTATGTTTCACACTGCACTACAAAAACCAAGAATAATTTTAATTATTTATTATTTCAATAATAATTTATTTAAAAAATTATTATTTTAATAATAAGCAAGCAGATAAAATTCAGATCCCAGGCCCCATTTCCTATCTATCTCATTTCAAGATTGTCATCTCAGGTTCCTTGGGTAAGAAACTGGGTGTTTGATAATAGGGTATTAAGAGAACATAAATGCATAAGCCTCTCATTTTTCTGATTTGTAATGAAAGAAAAGGTAGTTTTATCCCACGTCAATCTTCACATTGCAAAATTCAAGTAACCTGAACATTTAAAAAATGTATTCAAAAATGCAATTTCATGCTGATTTTATGTCACTGTACTTTTTGTAAGGCTGAACACGGTAACAGCACATCATTTGGGACAGACATAAATGCTTCAATCCCTTTGGTTAGAGCTTCAAAAAATATCACGTGTCCCGGTAGTTATGTTGCAAGTCATCTTGTTAGATAAGCTTACATATTTCTCTCAACACTGTTTGGGGTCTATGACAAAGGATCTCTTCCTTGGCTGAGTACTTACCCCGAGATAATTGCCATCAATGAACACCACAGGGAGGGATGGAGCTTCGGAAACTCGCCGGCACCTTTCATCTAACTCTTTTCCATATTCACCATTCAGAGCTATGTTTTTCTCTTCAAATTTTACTCGATGGTTTTGGAAGATCTTTCTAACCAGTTCACATCTCTCGAAGGTTGTCCTCACCACTCGAAGACAAGTGGTATAAATCACTACGCGGTCAAATTCTAGGTCAGTTGATGGTTGCTGAAGGGGAAAAAAATGCAGTGTAAACACATTTCTTTTACTTTCCCACATCTTATTATCATCAGACAATTAGCAAGTATATTATACAAACAACATGCAATAAAAGTTGAATGGGTACCATATTTATAAAGACTTGTTTTTTTCTAAGTTAGAATATTTGTAATTGATATAGGACTTCTAATATCATTTAAATGACACAATATAAGTAAGTCCTATGTGAAGATTGGCAAAGTCTCAAACAAGATGCAGCATGGTGAAATAAGGAATGGCTGAATTATTTCTGATGTTTTCTAGCAATTTCTATATCTGTGCCTTAAACACAAAGTATATTGAATAGAAAAGTTTAGAAGTTTTAACCAGTTGGAAATTCTTTTACATATCAACTTAGTGAATTTTCATTGTCTTTTGAGCCAGGCTTTCCTGGGAATAATAAGAGCTCCCTCATAAGGTAAGGTAGCACAGTACAGGTAAATGTGCTCTATTGAGTGTCCGGGCTGCAAGGTGCAGTCTCTGCCACAAGGAATGGACCAGAAAGGGAGTGCACAGAAGCCAACAGAAGTGAACCCAGAGTTGCAGCCAGGTACCTAAACAAAACAAACAAAAAAGAATTCAGACATCAAGGAAGTAGAGGAAAGCAATATTCAAAACTAAGGCAAATAGTGCTGTATGGGAGAATCTCTGTTTCCTGCTAAATCAGGAATCAGTTACTGCTGGCCTGGGAAACTCCACAGCACTGCTAGAGTGAGCCATACTGGGGCAATGCCAGCAGGAAAGCTCCTCTTTGTCCTTATCACAGGCTTACTGAAAGAGACTGAATAGGACATAACTATACCCTGAAGCCAAGAAATTCTTGAGAATTCACAGGGCTGTGGTTGTTAAAAATGTAGCCTTACAGTGTGTTGTAACTATGCTGTATATCAAAGTAGTTTTTTAAAGTTTCCATCCTAAACCTCAAATCATGTAATTAAAAATGTGCCTGTTTGTTTGTGACCTAATTATGATTCTTTTATTAATAAAAGGTAATGGGAAAACACACTTTATTAGGCTGGTGGCCAGACCTACATTTAATTTTCCTGCATTCTATGAGAAGTATTGTACCAGAGTATTAAAAGATATGTAATATTTTATTGATAAATCTATCCTTCAAAAGGAATGCATTTTAGGATATCATCATTTTGATGTGAATCATGTAAATGTTGATAATATGCTGTTTATTATACATTTAGTGTTTCAAAATATTCACTGAATTGCCTTTTTGCCCATGTATATTATGCAGTCTATTTGGAATTTTATTTTAAATAATGACATTAAAAGAGTAGTTTATGTAGAGAAATACTATTGAATGTTAATTGTCTATCCAGCTGTATTTATGGGTATTAGTTCAACTGCTTTGCTGGTTGCAAAGACAGATTATCAAAGTAAAGTGTATCTGTAAACTGTATGGAACTAAAAATTAGTAATAAAACCATTTTCTTAAAAAAATAAGAAAAATATAGCCATATAATTTGCGATATCCCCATGAAGTCAAAACCTAGATCAGAAATCATTTCACACAGCTAAATACCAAACCAGCCACATTAATCATCACCACTTTATATTAAAAGAAATCAGATCATCTGCTAAGATACAAATGCATGGAACTAAGAACATCTAATGTTATGAAGATGTCAATACAATGATCTCCACTTTGTGGAGAAAAAAGGACAGTATTTTTTCCCCATATGGGCCACCAAATGCCATAGTCTGGGGACAAAAATAACTGAGCCACCACAAAGCCTTGTAGGTTCAAACAGCAACTCTTTATTTCCGAACTCTCACCAGCACTCTACACACACTTCCCGGGAACACACTCTCCACCAGGCTCTGTGCACCAATTCTCTCGGAACTCTGAGAGAACTCAATGGGAACTCCAAAATAGTGGGCGCTTGAGGCAGCAGGATCCGCCCTAATCCCAGAGCCGCCCTTTTCCTGGAGCAGGGTCACCTTTCAACCATTCCCTCTAGCAAAATACCAGGTGTCATTCCGACTAAACTGTGGCTCTCAACATCCTAACAATAAAATTTATTCAAGATGTAAGAATCATTTCTTCCCTCAATTGAATATAAATGTTAAGTTGAAAACTCAGAGACCTGTAGGGGCTAAACAGGTGTCACAAATACAAAAGCAGGTCAGGACAAATAGAAAAATTAGTGACATATGGAAAAATGGCATCCATAAGAGACAAACTTTACACAGCTTCAGGCAATTGTTGGCTTGCATACGTGTGACCCCTGTGTGGTTAGACATGATTTATTTTATATAGAAATTAAAATCTAGATTTCTGTAGCAAATTTTCTGATTTCTGAATGGTTGTATCTAATTAAAAATGTTTTAAAAGACCAATTGGACCAATACATGTGAAGGTGTCCTCTTTTCCATTTCTAAAACAAAATACCTGAGATAATCAACTTATGAAAGAGAAAAGGCTTATTTTGGCTAACAATTTTGGAGGTTTCAGTTCATGATTGTATGGCCCCATTTATTTGAGTATGTGGCAAAGCAGCAGATCATGGCAGAAGTATGTAGTGGAAGAAAACTCACTTCTTGGCCAGGAAGCAAAAGACAGCAAGAAGGACATGCTCCCAATGACCTCAAGACCTCTCATCAGGCCCTACTTTTAAAGATTTTACCACCTCTCTCTAATGCCACCTTGGAGAATGAAACTTGAACACATGGGCCTTTGGATTACATTCTGGATCCAAACTATAGCATGGCATAAACTGCCAATCTATTTCCACTAGAGAGCCTGGGCTTGAAAATCAGATAAACCTAGGCCATCTGTTCTTCTAAAGAAGCAGCACAGGAACTAAAGGAAGCACTTGAACTACTGAGCCTCAGCTTCCTCATTTGAAAATGTGATGATAACAAAAGCTACCTAACAGAGTTTCTGAGAAGATTGAGTAAGAGAGACTATGAAAACAGCTATTGTAGGGGCTTGAAAGATGGTGCTGCTCCATACGGAAAAATACTAAACTTCACACCATGAGATTTTGCAGTTCAAACTTGAACAAAAATAAGTCTGTGGAAAACACCAAGATAACTGATAACACAAAGATGGATTCTTACTCTGCTTAGATTAAGAAGCACTAATTTTAAGAGGAAGCAACCAAACACCCCAGAGTCCCTGGCTCTTCTCCGTGCTCACAGTCACAAGTAAGTGAGGCACTGGGCTCACTGGGGACCTGGCAGTTTGTGGAAGAGCATGTTCTCCTTCATCTGATCCTGTTGAGATCGTTTTACTTCTTCTTCCTCTACAATTTACTTCTCCTTCACCTTCTTTTCTTATTCTTACTTGAATGCTCTAGCTAGGACTTCCAGGAATGCTTGAGTAGAAATGATGAGAGTAGACAATCTTGCCATGTACAGAGCTTACCTATCAGGAGGCTAGCTGTGAGCTTTTCATGAGTGGCCTGTGTTATGGTGAAGAATTTTCTTTTTTAATTCTATTTTATTGAGATTCTTGTATCATGAAAGGACATTGAACTAGATGCATAACATTTTGAAGAACTATGTTATGATCACTTAGCTTGAAAGACAAAATGGATTTATGTCCATTTAAAATAATGCCTATGGGCTAGGGTTGTGGCTCAGCAATAGAGCGCTCACCTAGCACATTCGAGACACTGGGTTTGATCTCAGCACCACATAAAAATAAATGAATAAAATAAAGGTATTGTGTCCAACTACAAGTAAAAACAATACTTAAGAAAACAAAATAAAATAATGCCTAGTCATTCATTCAGCAAATTTATTTGCTAAACACAGTGCTGAGCAATAGCTATATAATAATGTACAAATAATACAGTTCCTTATCAACATGAAGCTCAGAGTATAAAATAATAAAAAACAGAACAATTACATAAGTATGGAATTATAAACTGTTAAGTACCATAAAAGAGATGTATAATTAGAACATTTTGCAGCAGTGGTGTCTCTTCTTATCTTAGAAGACAAGAAAGGGTTTTTTGACATTTGAGTTCAGATTGGAAGCACAGGAAAGAGTCACAGAAATTAACTAGAGACCATGAGAAGAAGGTGGCTTCTCTGAAATTCTTCAAAGGTCATTTTCTGAAACACAGAGAGGAAAAAAAAAATAGAAAAAAAAATGTACTAAATTAGCCTAGACAGATATGCAGGGTTGTATTTTATCGAGACTTTAAAAATCTAGAACAATGGGAAATTCCTAAAGGTTTCTATGGAGGATGGCAGAGGCTGCACTGAATGAAGTTTACATTTCAAAAAAGATGAATGGAGAAGGGACAGCATATGTAGTTGCAGACAGTGTGCACTGCAAAGCCCTAGATAGTGCTGGAAGAATCACAGTCTAAATAAATGATTTGTCCAGAGTTGTGAGTCCATATTTTTGTGCTACCTTACTCAGTCTAATCGCTCACCCCCTTGCCTAAGAACCATATTGAATGTGGGGCAAAGGTAGCATAGAAAGTATGGCTGTGTATTAAATGGGGTATCCAATATAATGTCCTAAAAAAGAACTTATTGCACATTTTTTATATGGTGTGAAGTAGGTTTTCCTAGAGATAGGGGTAGATCAGATGATTCCTTTAGATCTTTTCCAGTTTTATAATATGAATTTTAAAAGATATTGTCTTGGGAGGAAAAAAAAATCCTCTTCTACATTTGTTCCATTTTCTTTCCCTCAACAGATTTGACAAAGCATCTGGCCAGAAATCTAAAAATAGCTTCTGGATGGCTCGCCTTTCCTCTTCTGGCTTCCTGAGGGTTACCATGGGAATAGTGTAATGAGGGGTGGAAGCAGGTGAGCAGCCAGAGAAGCCACTGGGATTGCAGCCTGCTGCTTCTCAGAGAGCCACCGAGAGGGTGATAAAGGCAGACCATTTCCTCTTCTTGGTTGATTAAAAATATGAATCAGGGATGCCTGGAAGCCTCACAACAACCTGCAGCAAACACACATGGATTAGGATGGAAATTGCTAAAAATGA